ACATTCTGTAGAAAAAGTAGGATTATGTGTACCAGCAGATCCGGGTCACAACTTTTCATTGCCAAAGAGTTTTGGTCTTCTATTTTAATAAGTTATGTATACAAAAAAAAATCACCCTTGCTAGCAATTTTTTAAAGCATTCACTAAATTTGGTTTTAATGGAACATGTTTGACAAATGCTAAACCTGTATTTCCTTTTTATAGAAAACACTTAAGTAAGTATAATTATGAATATGTGAGTGGTGCATAGTGACCCCCTTGGTTTAAATTGTGTAAGAGCTTTTAAAAGAAATTTAAATAAACCTAAAGTTACGTAATCAATAGAGAGAAGTATTAAGCTCCTTAAATGTACAACAGAAGCAACAATACATTATGATTCATAAAATTAAAAAGGCAGTTGTTTATTTTAAAATCATACTTCTTTGAAATTAACTAACTTGACAACAGTATAGAACATGTTCTACGTAGATTCCTAAAACATTCTAGATAATTTTGTTTCTTACAATTTTATTAGCATCAGTATCTATCAGCCTCTGTGACAGGAGCCTCTCAGGGTCCTCTGTTCTTGCTTGCTCACTGAGGTTGGTGGCCTGTGACGCTAAAACGTAAACATTTGGACCCCAGGGAAGGAGCAGTGTGGAAGGGTATGTGGTGATGGGCAGTGTTGTGGCTAAAGGACCCTTTGCTCTATGCATAAAGAGATCAGAAGTTTTAGGTTTAATATTTGCTACAAAATGTCTTTGCAATTTAAAAATCATTTTATTCTTCTGATTCTCAATTGGTTTTCCTATAAATAATAAAAATTGGAGAGAGGAGAAAGGGGATGAGAAAAAGATTTGTGTTATGCATGTGGACCAATTGTACATAAGAATATAAAGCTTATGTGCTGCAGATATGTTCTAATCAAAAAATTTGAAAAAAACACTACTAGGTAGAACTTAAAACTTAGCGAGATAATAATGTGTATGCTGCTGTCTCTCCCATTAGGATCTGAGGATCCAGGGCATTGTGATTGGAGGGTCCCAATGTCTCTCTTGACACTGTCACCTGAGATACCTTTACCTGGCAACTTATAGGACTCCATTTCTCTGTTTAACAAAAACATGAACTTCCTCTCATGTCTGATCATCCTATCCCTATTTTTTTCTATCTCATTAAATTGAATTTTCAGTCATCAACTATATCAGCCAGAAAGTTAAAAGACATTCCTAACATCTCCATCTTCTATCTCTCCAAATAGATCAATTATAATTGTTTTTTCAAAAGCATTATCAAAATCTTCCATACTTTCTTTCTTTTCTGCAAACAGAACTACCATCTCTTTCCTCTGGACTCCTACAATAGCATTTTAATTATTTATTCTACATGTGCTTTCCCATGGCAACAAAAACTGTGCAGCAAAAATAATCCTTTTAAAACTCCAGACTGGTTACAATTTGATTAAAATTAAAAAATGGCCTGCATTAGTCTAACAGTATGGTCAAAATAAAGACACCCTTTTCAACTAGTTAGCTCTACCTGTCATACTAATACCATCTCAACCTAGAAATGCTCATGTCTTAATAAATGTGTCAGTAGACAAGGAGTTGTTTAAGCTCTTTCTCTTCCACTACAAGCTGTGTGAAATAGAGAGTATATTGCTTACTTTTGTATCCACAATAAACAAAATGACCATTCAAAGTGATTAGTCAAGAAATGCAGGTAGGAAGTATGAATATAATCAAAGTGACATAAAAATACCTGACAAAGTAGAATACTTGATTTTAAAAATACCTAAATGTAACATGGTAATAAAAGGGTTGATATTTTATAACAAGTTTCATTTACATTAGCTAAGTGGTAAAACCTTTATGACAAAAATACTTGCACTCAAATGGACTCATCGATTTCAGCCCATATCAGAATTGATGAGTAGAGAGACTTACAAGATAAAGTCTGACCTTCGAGGCTTGTGGCCGAGATGGAAAGGGGCCAGGTCTGTACACAGAAAATTATCACACAAGCCCCAGAAAGGAGTGAATAGAGATGACTGTGCAGACGTGATTTCTTATCTGACAGTGTGACAAATGGAGAAATGTAGTAGGATTTAGGCAGAAGTAGCAGCATGTCAAAACTGAGAACATGGAAAAGTCTAGCATGATGTAGAAATGGAAAGAGAGACAAAATTATAAAGTTCTAAATGACGAAACTTTACAAAATAATTACCAATCTGCTCTTTTCTTTATACACTGCGGTGTTTTTGTTCTTCTAGTGAGAATGGAGACACTGCTTCAGCTTGTCCCTCTTGATTTGCAGAATCCCCTTCTCTGATACCATTTCTATCCTTTGTAAAGCTCTCTATTCTCAGTGATCTTGGTGTTTTATAATATCTAATCTCACCCTTTGAAGGCCAAACGAAAAACCCCCCTAATCTCTTCAGGCATTCATTAGAGTATTGACTATGCTTTTTAGATAAAGTAAAAAAGTTCAATCAATCCCAGTACTTCAACCAATGGTCCCTCACAAGCAGGACACCATTGATGCAATGTAGACCTCCATGTTAATTTTGTTAACAGGCACTGCTATGACACATAGTAGGTAACCAATCTGGGATGATTTATATGCTGTGTTTCTATTTTTCATGTGTGGAGTAAAGAGGATTAAAGGAAATAACACACAGCACAGCTGGAAGAGTTCCTCATATAGAAAAAGAATGTGGATTAACTATGATCAAATGGCTCAATTTAGCTTTTTAACACTTTCTGCTATTCAAGTAACAACTCAGTACTCTATAAATACCATGCACCTAGACTTCTCCTTTTCTTGCTCTTCTTAGTATAAAAAACTCCCTCCAGGGCTGGGGAGATGGCTCAGTAGAATAAGCGTTTCCCTGGCAAGCACAAGGGCGTGAGTTCAATCCCTGGTTTTGAAAAAAGAAATTCCCTTCCATTTTCCGTCTCTTCTTTGCGTACTGATCCTTTCAAGCTTTGCTTTGCCTTCTTAAGTTGACCTCTTTTGAGGAGCATAGTCTGCTCTGTGCTCCTTATGAGTCCCTCACAGTCCAGTGAATTGCCTTTTCTTTGCATAATTACCCAGCTCCAGCACAGGGTTCGTAGTTTCCTGCGATCTCAATCTGTGCCACTCCCAGAGTTGAATACTCATAGAGTTGCATGCAAGATCCACGAAGTTGGTAAATTTCTCTCATTTGTTTCATTTAACTTTTCCCGTCCTTTCATTTATTTGTGTTCCATGGACTGCCCATGCATACAAGAGGACACCACTGTCGGCTGCATGGACTCGCCTGCAAGCCATGTTTTGGGTTACTGGTCGTCACATACTAGAAGCGCAAGACAGTGAAGGAGAACATCTGGCTCCTCCACCTGCTAGTACTTGGTATTAGAAAAGCCACTTAAAATAACCACTAAGAAGACAGCAAGATGCAATGTATTAATTATTGAAACTGTCCTACTAATCGGATTTTGAAGCTGTCTCATTGCTATTTATTTCTCAATAAAATTGTTAAAAAAATAAAAAGAGAAAAACAAAAGCCACTTAAATTACCTTAGAAACAGTATCTTCCTCTAGTTCTAGGGATGATAATATGTAATAAATGATTGGTTAATAACGCACTTGAAGAATTTGCATGTAGCGGATTCAGGAATGGAAAGGCATTATCATCTCTTCCTCATTTGTCAAGGAGAATAAGCATAGTTTTAGCTAGAAAATTTTCTTTAAAACCCAGATTAAACTCCACTCCTAGTGTTTTAGATTATCATCTTAATCATAGGCATAGCAATTCAGATTATAATAGCTATTGTCTTTTTATTGTGTGTACTAGGGGTGGAACCCAAAGTTTTACCCATACCGGGCAGATACTTTACCACTGAGAAATACCTCAAGTGCCCTTTTTATTTTCATTTTCACTTTATTTTATTTTTTCCATAATTTTACTGAGAAACAAATAGCAATGAGATAGTTTCAAATCAAATTGGTAGGACACTCATTAATTAACACATTGCATACTGCCTTCCTAGTGGTTATTTGTTGTACAAGATGCAGACATGATATCTTGTTTACAAACACTGTTAGAATAAATCCCTCTATTCATTAAGAGAATGTAACTATATACCTATCCTAACCATTTTGAATACACAGATACAAAATGGTCATTCATCTATATCCCCTTTTTTGGTTTAGTTCCATCATTTAAATATTATAGGTGTGTGAACTCAGTAAAATATTCCAAAATAGTCCAGTAGTTCATAGTAGTATTGGGTTATATTTTCATTTTAGATATGGCCTTGCTGTTTTGCTTAAGCTAGCCTTGAATTTATGATCCTTTTGCTTCAGCTTCCCTGGGTCCTGAATTACAACTGTGTGTCAGTATGTTTAAATCTTGTCTATTAGTTAGATTTAAAAATCAAGATTTTCACAAATTCTTTTGATAACCCTAGAAACAAATTATCTAAGATAATTCACCACACTGCTAGGTATTTACCTAGTACTACAATATACTAGGAGTGTTAATGTATCTCTCATTTTTTTATTTTAAAGAGAATTAAAAAAATGATACAGAATTTCAAAACAAGATTATGGCAAATCAACAATGATTGCTATATTTCAAATTTTTATCTTCAAAGTACTTGTTTTCTGAGCTGCTCTGTTCCCAATCACAGATGGATGAGCTGAGATTTGAGTGACTGAATTAACTTTCACAATGCTGTACAACAATGGATACAGTCATGTGTCTTATTCCAAAACCTCTGTCTGTCTAATTTCTAGTGCTTTGCCATGTTTGCCTTGAACAAAATGCCCATAGTAAGCAGAATGAAAAGGAATTCATAAATCCTTACACTTAGGTTCATGTGCTAATACTGGTGGTAAGTCAAAGATGGTACTACACATTCTCAAGCTGAAAGATTTATAGAGCTAACACTCTAGAAACATAAGCTTTTGTACTATTTCAAAAGATGTTGTTCCAACTAGGTTTAGCCATTCAGCTGAAAGGAAGTGAACTTTACCTGAGTCTTGTAGGTGGCTGTATTCGTAGCCTAGGTCTCTGGATGAAATAAAGAAGTCACCGTTTTTGTAGAGAGGTATGAAAGGAACCATGTAGGATTCCCGGTTATGCCCAATGGGTGTATTGGCCTCTGGATAAGCTTCTTGAAGTGGGCGGTGCCTGCGGAGCCACTGTTCAAAAATACTGCAGAGGAAATGATGATCAGAATCAGAAATAGGGAACTCACGAAATCCATATTTTTATTTCCTAAAATAAACAATAAGACCTGTAATAAAATCTCAGGACATGGAAATTTGCTTAATATATTCCTATTTTCAGAATACTTTGTAAAATATCAGCTCATGCTATCAGGCCTTGTATAGGTACACTCATTTGAAGGACACATGAAGATATATATATATATTTTTAAGTTTTACAGTTTATTAAATCCTCTCATGAAAAAAGTCGCAGTCACTGCAGACAGGCACTGCAGTCTCTACTCTGTCGGCTTTTTGCCAGCACCAACACTAGCCTTTGCAGTGCCCCTGACTTTCTTCATTCTGTTCTTGCGTTCCTCCTGCTGCTCTCTTGAGGTCTTTTTCTTCTCATGCAGGCCGTGTCTTGCAAGTCTATGTTTGGGCTCATTTTTCTTTGCCTAATCCAGGGAATCATAAATCATGCCAAAGCCAGTTGTCTTGCCACCACCAAAATGGGTTCTGAATCCAAACACAAAAATGACATCTGGTGTGGTGAGTTTTTCCCGAATTTCTGTCTTAAGTACCATTGCTTTCCTAGGGTGAAGGACATCAGTGGCCATTTGTTTCCTTTGAAGGAGTCGATTGGTCGTGAATTTCCAGGTTTGACTAGCTACTGTGTCATTCATGATGGCAACGGAGCCTCAGACAACCCGGGAGGAAGATATATTCTTTTTAAAAAAATCTTAAGGATAAAGTTACACAAGCAGTTTACAACCTTAAGAATGTTGCAGATAAAAGCAATTCAATTAACTATTAGTTGAATGAAAATTCAATGATAGTCAGAAATGAAATATTTCTGTCCCCCAAAATGTTAGTACAAAGAATGAACGTATAATATTAAATTAGAAATTATGATGGAATTTGGCTATTTTTGTTCAGGGTAGGGGCTTTCAATTATTTCAACTTCTGGCTCATATTTGGGGGAGTATATGCTCAATGAGTTTGGATGGAAGAGAGTTTTTATCATCAGGGATACAGGTTAAAATAACTGTGCTTATTTTTCCAGCCTCACCCAAGGATAAGGTCTGATCCGTATTCAGCCAGATATATCTACTCATGCTTTTAGAGGAGATAATGATATAATGATACAAGGACAATGAAATCTATTAGAATAGTGGGCAATAGCAATTTCTATAACACTGCCTAGCTTTCAAGGACAACAGGGCCAGATGTGTAAAGGAAGCTAGTAGGTAGGTGTATTCTCTCCTCTATTGCCTGATTTTGGCAGATATTCTGACTGCTGGAAGATTCCCCTGTTCCCATCTGTCTCTGAATTTCTCAATTATTGTTTGATTTATCTGATGTACTTCGAACAATTTTTTCTTGTTTCAATAAGCCAGAGTTTGTTTCTGTTGCATGCATTTCTTTCTAGAAAGAAATGTAAAAAAAAAAAAAAAAAGATAGACGTATACAGTTAGAATGGAGTAGAAACTCAAGTTGTAGAAGAATACGTAGGAGACCATTAAAAATATGACCAAAAAAGGCTAGATCTAGGGTTTGAAATTTTCCCTTGAAGCCTAGCTGTGTTTTTTAATAGCTATATGACTCAGAAAAATCACTGAACTTTCTGGAGACTTAGCTTACACATATTTTAAATAAGAATAATAATAATATCCTACCTGTGTTAAAAGGAACCATTTATTGTTATGTACTTTCTAATGAAAAGGTTAAATAAATAAGCTATTGTTTTAGACTAAAAGGTAGATTAGTAGATCATAGATAAAGCAGCACCTTAAAAAGATTGAAAATAAAATTTAAAAACTTTTAACATATTTGAAGTACCATAGAGAATAAAGAAGCCAAATAACACCAGTAGTGATCTTTTTTTTTTTTTTTTTCCAAAACAAAAAAATAACAATTCTGTTTTCTTAGAATCTGGACTTCAAACCTTCTCTGATCAAAGCTAGTTTCAACTGTGAATTAATTGAAGGACCAGCAGGTCACTGATAAATTTTGAAAACCTGGCCCACCAATGCAAAATTCTCCCTAAGTTCACAGTTGTAAATATGTAGTTATAGGATACTGATGGCAGGCCACATTATAGTTAAGTAAAAAAATCTACAAGTAGTGAAAGGAGAAAATTATAAAAATTCATAAGCTGCTAGATTTACCCTTTCTTCATCTGGAAAATGAAACACTAAAATTGAAGCTGTTATGCAGACGAATTAAGTAACCGAAGCCACACAGCTAAGGGATGAATGAGTAGTAGAAACTCTCGTCCCACAGAACTGGGCTTTTTGTCTTCCTCCTCCATATTCTGGTCCTACTGGAAGAAATTTACAGTTGGTGGGGGCATGAGATCTGCTGTAATAAAACACTAAAAGCACATGTGCTTAAGCAAGGTCTGTAATAAGAGTTATTTTGATAGGTAGAAAAGGAAAAAAGATTCAAAACACTTGAGTTTACTTATTTAGTGGCAGACCAATATACAATGAATAGTAAAGGGATTGATGCAAAAACAGCCTTTAGTCAACTGAGAAAAAATTACTGCTGCAATTTAATTCATAAATAATCTTGTTTCTGCCAAGCGATAAAAATTGCTCACCCACGTAGGACAAGGTCATCAGTTCTTAGCACTGAAAGGCCTAATGGATGAAACTATGAATATGCTTATCCAGCTTTCAAAATGAAAGAATTAATCTTCTTTAAATTCTTCGTAGGTGGCTTTTCTTCTTCAGTTAGTTTCATTAAAATATGTCTAAAATGGCTCATGTTGGAATGCCAGTATATAACTTACATAATCACATTGACATTTTGAGAGGAAAGATATGTTCTTATCAGAGATTCACTTAGACTATATCTGAACAGTTTTCTAGAAATTTGAGTAACACTGAAATTCACAGTAGAAGAATTAGGAAAGAGTAAAGGTGATTAAAAAGAACCAGGAACATAAAGAAAAGTATTTTATATATAAACTGACATTTGGTTTCCTGTTTCATCCTGACATGTCGAGACCCTAATCTTACCCATCTTTACAGTAATGAAAATTAGACAAATTGAAAGTCAACAACTTCCTCTGAACTCATGAACAAATGGAGGCTGTAGGGGAAAGAGCCAACCTTGTGCCTGTAGGTGTAAGCGCACCCTGAAGAAGACCCTTGAGACCTGCTTACCAGGAGCAGAAGCAGCGAGGTCCTTAGACACTCTGAAGCAGAGCTGGGGACTGCAGCTAAGCTGCAGGCCAGAGGGAGGCATGCCTGGGGCTGCGATCTTAGGTGGGTTCCCACCTTGCTTCTGAGCCTTACATCTTGTAACTCCACCAAGTTTTCACTATAAAAATCAAAGAAGGATGCTTGGTTGGCTCTGGGAGGGTAAAAGGCAGAGTGACAACTGCAAAAATATATCCAGAACCCTATTCACAGTAAGATCCTACACTCTACAATCAGAAATGCTTGTGCTTGATTTAAATCTTATCCAAGGAGGAGGATGGGAATTCATGCTAGTCCAGCCTGTCTTCCTGTTTCACGTGGGGTGGTGTGACCACTTGTGCTGAGGCCTTGAAGAAATGGCTTAGAAATGTGGTAGCCACTGAAGGAAGAGGAGGCAAGAGAAAAGAGGCTGTAGCGTTAGAGGCATGACTATGAAGGTTGCAGCACCACGGTGCTATCCCATGCGAAGGCCGTGACTTAATCCGAGCAATTACAAGACCTCCTCCCTCTGATCCTGTACTACCATCGCAGCAGAGTTCCAGTGAGGTAAGCCCGAACTGTAGCTGAAAAGCCGCAGGATATATGTGACATCTAGGGAAAAAGAGTAAGTCAGGAAACATAAAAGCAAAATTGGGACTGGCGAGAGCTCAAGGACTAAACGTCTGCTGAGGCAAGTGCCAGGACTGGGGTTCGATCCCTACCACCACATGTCATGCCGGCCCCACCCCAAGGGTGTGTTGAGCTGGCCACCAAGGGCAGGCGTGGTGGCACATGCCTGTAATCCCAGCGCTGGGGAGGCTGGAAACAGGAGGATCACTACGAGTCCGAACTGCATAGTGAGACCCGGTACAAAAGACACAAATTAAATAAATAAATAAGCAAATAATACAACTGAGCAATAATACTAGGGAGATTTGAGATCTCTGTCAATGATAGCTATAGCAGAAATTAAGTGCAGCCCAACACTTCACCAAATTAAAATAATTCCTTACACTAATGGTCTATACCTCAGTTTATATAATAAAAGCCTGTGTCTCTTGGAATAATAAAAATTGCAAGGTATATAGAAAGGTAAGGGGAAAAATCGTCTGGAGTGGTTAAGGAATCTCAATCTAAATCAAATGTGATATAGATTTTGAATTGTGAAACATGGGAAAAATGCATACATTAAGTGCTTTGGCAAAAAAGTACATCACCTGCAGCAACAAATGGGAATTGTAGTCTGAGGGACACAGACTCTAAGAAGGAGTCCAAAGGAATGCTAGCTCTCAAAAGCACTACTTTAATGAGTTTATAGGTAGACTTGATGCAGCTTACAAAATAATTAGTAATCTTGAGGAGAGTTCATTAGAAATTTCCCAAACTGAAGTGTAAGGAGAAAAAAAATTAAAAAGAAATCGAGCACTGTGGGACAATTTCAGAGGTGTGGAGTGTACTGCTCAGGAGAAGTAGTGTGCAGAGCAATTACTGTCCAAGAAAGAGAATCAAGACTTCAAGGAGGAAGGGCAGGTCCTGAATCCAGGTCATGAAATAAATATATGAGTGTGGAGCATTTGGCCATGCCAGAAAGTAAGGAAATGTTCACAGAAACCACAATACCCCCTTCCCAGTGTTAGAGCTTTGTCACAGGGACAAGAGAGAACCGCTGAACCCTCGGAGGTGGAGCAATTTGGACTAAAAAATGAAGAAGAGGTCTGGCTTGAATCCAAATTATAAAATAAATACAGCTATGTCTGGCTGACATAAAAGAGCAAATAAATAAATATGAGAAATATATGAATCTACCACCAGAAGGACT